CTTCCATTATATTCAAAAATGAAACTGATTAATACAAACTTTTATAAAATTCTATAATGTTAAAACTGATTAAATACAAAAAACCTCTAAAAAAAATAGGCCAAATAGGCATAGCAACGAAGCGGAGATGGGACAGGTTTTGTAATCCCTGACCTCGGGTTCTAGTAATAACCCCCGACCCTGGTCCCCGGTGGATATGGGGATTAACATCCCGGCCCGGTTAAACCACATGAAGAATATTTGTTAGTTTGAGTCTAACCGGGGATCCTCAGCCCCGTCCCCAACCCCAGTTTGAGTAACAGCCCTCGGCCACGACCCCGGTTTGTGTCTACCGAGGATCCCCAGCCCCAGCTCCGAGACCCGTTTTAGCGGGGAATCCCCGTCCCCGTTCGAGTTGGATGAGCCGGATTCCCCACCAGGTCGACACAAATCATCATCCTTAAGGTCATATAGTTACGACCTCTGATAAAAACCTTCCATTAAAAACCTCCCACTTCGTTGAATAACTTCAACGTAAGTGTTCCATTTCTGAAAAACCTTCCAAAAATACAGATAATAAAACAAACAGACATAAAATACAGGCATAAAAAACACAGTTCATTATCTCAATCAGTAACGGATTCAAGAATTCCATGTGAATCCGCCCATATAACATAATTTCTAACATTATTATAATAACTTTATAATAAAATTATATTTTTTATTTTATTAATTAATTACCATGTGTTTAATTAAATATTTTAAAATCATGAAAAATACCAAGAATTATCCATAACTAAAATAAACCATGAACATCACAAGTAGATTTTTTAATTAAAAAATAAATAAATAATAAGAAATTCCATCACTTTTTATCTGGATGTACAAGTTTTAATGCACAACGTACAAGTTGCTCAGAAATGCTTTTTTCCATATTGGTTACAAATATAGACAAAAGAATTCTGAAGGAAACAGCAAAAAAGCAAATTCAATAAATGTTTTTTTTTTTTCAAAAAATAATTAAATAAATAAAATCAATTTTATTTATTTTAAATTATAATCCACTAAATAAAATTTGGTAAACGATTCGTTATGGTGTATTTGATACACTGTATAAGATAAAACAGAACAGAACAGAACAAAACATAAATCATGGTTCCATGTGTGATACTGATATTTGGTTCGTCTGTATAAAGGCGGAATCGCTAGTAATCGTCGGTCAGTCATATGACGGTGAATCCGTTTATGGGTCTTGTACACGTTAATTTGTTATATTTTATGATATTTAAAATTTTCATTTTACTGTCTTCAAAATATTATTTTTACACAGTTTCTATATTTTGGTTAATTTATATAATTTATTTAATAAAAAATGATAAAGAATATGTGTAAAATAAAATTTGGAAATTACATAAACTTCGTATTTTAGTATCGTTTTAGTTGTCTTGACGAAAACTTTCATTGATGTAATTTGATATAAAAAAATATTTATTTTGTAATAATTTAATTAATTACATAAATTAATCAAAATACAGGGAAAAAACATAAACATATCATTAGAAGTAAATTAGTCATTTTATCAGTCATGCCCTGTCTAATCCTGTCTTACCGAACACTGGACAACTGTTTTATCCTGTCTGGACACCAAACGCACCCTTAAAATTTTAACTTCCATTGTGAAGCGAATGATAAACGAGAGTATGACAATTGTCCACATTCATCATTAAAAATGAACGTTAACTTTTGTAGCATGTATGATGAATATACGCATGGCAACGGGGCGGGGATGGGGCGCGTTTTGTAATCCTCGGCCCTAGCCCCGGTTTTTAGTAACAGCTCCCGCCCCCGGCCCTGGTCCCCGACGGGTACGAGGATTAACATCCTGTCCCCGGTTAAACCCTTGTCAAACCCCAGTCAAACCACATTAAGAATATCCGTTAATTTGAGTCTACCGGGGATTCTTGACCCTGGCTCCAACCCCGGTTTCAGTAACAACCCTTGGCCCCGGCCTTGTCCCCGGTTTGAGTCTACCAGGGATCCCGTGACTCGTTTTAGCAGGGAATCTCCATCTCCGTTTAGGTCGGGTGAGCCGGGTTCCCCATAGGATCGAGACAAATCAGCATCCTTATAAATATCCCATAAATATCTGAAACACATGACATGATCTGGTTTGTCTCACAGTTAACAATAAAAATTAAATTTAGAAAGGAATCTACTAAAAATAATAAATTTGCATAATGTTTTATAAATTATTGTGCAAAAATGGTTTGGTATATGATGTTTATTTATGCACAATAATTTAGAATCAAATATCCAAATTATAAAACAACAAATAGATGAATTTAGATTCCAATAATTAAAAAAATGAAATTACTCAAAATGACCATTTTGTACATGGTACGTTAATAAAATGACAATTTTTCAGAGATTTTTCACAAAATGAACACAAGGGCGGTTGTGACTATTTCGGGGCTATTTGACTATAAGGTACGGATGGGTCCTAGATGTATACCATTTGAGGAACAAAAATAAGATATTATATCTGATATATATGAAATCACCCTCATTTTGTCCAAATTGCCCCATGGGGGTGATTTTGACCTCTATCCCGTCTTCTAGTGAAGACAATTTATGATGCAACGATTTGACACATCAATGACGATTTGACGAGACATCATGGACKATTTTCATTGATATTTAGTGTTTTTTAGGACCAAATGTAGTATATACATAAATATTGTAGTATTATCTATAAAATTGTAGTGATCTAAACACTTCTACATTATAAAATAACAGTACTTTATAAACTATAATGCTAAATTGTGAAGTTGAATAATTAGACTCAAATGATTAATTGTATAAAATTGTGATACATGAAATAATATTTAGATCTGGTTTTTTATATGGTTGACGATCATAAACTATCTTTATTTTTTAGTTTATTTTTCATTTTTTAACGTATAAATCCTCGATTAAAATTTCAAATTATTCCTTTATTTCTCTTTATATTATCAATTAGTTTTTATCAAACATGACTGGTTTATTTATTAACAGCTACGTTCACCCAAAACTCTGATCAAACCGTCAAACCCAACTCACGAATAACCTGATCAAACCTTATCCACCAACCCGTTTTCAGTTATATATTTTTTTTCTTCTCTTCCACGAACTTTATTACAGTAAAATCGTCAACCCGGATCTGGATTGGGTTTTATATACTACACGTTGAGTTGGGTTGAAATATTTTTCAATCTAGTGTAATTAGATTAAGTTGTTTATATGCCACAAACAACTCAACTGAACTCGGGGGTGTTCGGTATCCAGTTTAGACAGTTTAATCCGCAAAACTACAAACCAAACCGTAATGGCGGTTTAGAAATTTTCTAAACCGAGCGGTTTAGTGGCAATTGACCAAACTGGTCAAACCGGATCATAAAAGGACAGTCTGATCTGACCGGTTTAGGCAGTTTAGGTCTCTTATGAGCTTTAAAGTAAAAAAAAAAAACATAAATCTATACACAAAATGGAATTTCTAAAAGATGAAATCTAGATATAATTAAAACATATGCATATTTTGCAGTTGGTTTGATCCAAAACCGTTAAAAAAATTCAAACTGCAGACTAGATCAGATCGAGCGGTTTGGCTAATTTTCAAACCAGATCAGACCGCCAGACGGCTCAATCCGCCAAAAACGGTCTAGTTTAATTTGGTTCAACCGGTTTGAGCTATCGAATGGTTTTTTTGAACACCTAAACTCAACCAAACTCATATGCACCCTTTCTAACAGCTAGCTTTTCCACTAACAGCTATTTTATCAGCTAAAATTTTAATAAGTTCAGTTTGAAAGGCGGGTTTCAAACGAGAACACCATCATTTTATGAAAATAATTCTATACGAAACCTTCTCTAATTTAAAATAATTTAAATTATTAAAAAAATGATAAATAATTACAAATAAATCCCATAATTATAATTTATTTTCAAAAAAATAGAAATTAATAAGCATTTAAACTATTTTCTCTGCATACACACCTTCTCCATCTTCACCAAATTCTCTCTGCAAAAAAATGGAGAATCGCTTCAAATTACAGATCTCGAAGCTCCTCCAATCGACCTTAAATTCCTGCCGGCCGAAAAACAACTCCGACGTCTCCGACCACCACTTGTTCTTCCTCAAAAACCCCCATCACCGCCGTCTCATCGACCTTTTCTCACCAAAACCTCAACCACCATCATCTTCTCAACCCAAACTCCATCTTAACCGGCTAGGAACCACCCCTTTTCCGGCATACACAGATCGCCGGAGACCACAATCCATTTCCCCTCCGTTTCACGAAAAACCCACCAAAAGAGACCGGAAAAAGAAACCCCATTACCGGAAAAGAAGAAACAATCCGAGTTTCTCATCGATTACAGACAATTATTACTACAATTGGTGGAGTAGCGATGAAGATAATCAAAGCGACGGTAAAACCACTTTGTTTTCCCGGCGATCGGTTTCTTCTGATTCATTTGAATCCATTCGAAAAAATAGAACCAGAAGAATCGCCGCCGCAGCCGGCGGTGGTGGTGGGTGTAGAGATACGGAGGTGGTGGCGATGGATGGTTTCGCGGTGGCGAAAGAATCGAAGGATCCACATGAAGATTTCAGGTCATCAATGGTGGATATGATTGTGGAAAAGGGGATTTTTGGGGTTGAAGAACTTGAAAATTTGGTGGAATGCTTTCTGTCATTGAATTCTGAAGAACATCACAAGGTGATTTTTGAAGTTTTTGCAGAGATTTGGGAGACTTTGATTTCAGATTTGGGGAAAAAAGAATGATTTTTTTTTGAATGATTTTGTGTTAGTTGTTTCGGTTGTAAGTTGTAAATTGATTATCGGTGTTTATGAAAATATGAAAGATATTATCGTGTATACAACTGTTGTAGATCTGTTTGGGACTAACAAGTGGTATCAGAACAGTGTTTATTATCTTTTTTTTTAATTAAGATAGTTTACTAACCGTTTCTCTTCAAATGGCTTTGCACAAAACAAGCACCGACATTCTATCGATCGTGATTATGGAACGTGTTGTTTTGTTTTATTTCGGGTATGACGGTTAAAAAAACTCGGGTTTTAAATGAGACTGGTAAAAACCCTGTTCGTGGATTTTTTTAGAAATTTATCTGTATATGTTATCTTTCTGTTTTTGTGTTAAATATTTAATTTTTACTAAAATAATAAGGAAAAAATCGACTAAAAGTGAATCACCCCGTACTGATTAACTTTTTAGCTACGTTTTCAAGTCAATTCATAAGGGTTGGGTTCACGTAAGACCAGTATGTTTTCGTGAGACACATGAAACCACATTTTTACACTTGAAACTTCACAACAAAATGTTGTGAAGGTAAAAAGAATCTGAATCTTCATAGTAAAAACACTGTGAAGGTTACTTTCACAGAGTTTTGCTATGAATTTTCAAACGTAAAAAGAATCTGAATCTTCACAGCGAAAACACTATGAATGTTACTTTAACAATGATTTTAGTTGATGATCTGAGTTGAATACCATACCGATCAGTTGTCTGTGCAAACGATCATACGCCAATGAATATCAGAATCGACTTTGGATCCTAGCACCCAAAAAGTCTGTCTGTACAAATGATCTGCGCCTGCCAAGGAACCAAATCACAATGGATCGAAGCCCTCGTTTTCGTTCCAATTAGCGAGATTCTATCTCTTACTTGGGAAATTGTGGTCGACCCCGCCTACACCTTCCTCGGAATCAAGACTTTTTACAATTTCCACTRACGAGCTTTCTCGCGAGCTCTTTCTTCTCGGGAACATCTCGAAACCGAGCGGGCAGTAGCTCATGAAACCCATGTAAAATATTTCTTTTATATGATTCAGTTAAATTTTAACGTTTTTATCTGAAAATCAAATCGTTGTACGACGTATTATCGAGTAAAATAAATTTTAATAATGATTTTATATATATATTTATTATTGTCATTTGTTTTTTATAATCCTTTTTGTTTTAATTCTAAATATTAAATTAATATATAATCATTATCAAAAATAAATTTTGATAACAAAAAAAGTTAGAACAAATTGCACGAAAAAATAACGTATTTTAACTTGATTTTTATTTTGGGTAACGTACTTTCAAAACTTCCATGCTGAAGTGTAACCTGTTGAAACATTAACCGGTTATCATGCTGAAGTGGCGAGTGATGTGATATCCAATTCAGTATTATTTGCTGACGTGGTTGGTGACATAAATTTTTTTAATCTGAAATTAGTCTTCAACTGGTTACTCGGGTACTTGAATGTTTAAAACTTTACATCTTAGATACCAAAATGTAAGTTTTGAAAGTATGTTACCCAAAATAGAAATCAAGTTAAAATACGTTACTTTTTCATGCAATTTACCCAAAAAGTTTAAACAAACAACAATAATAACATATAAAACCATTATCAAAATTTGTCTTACTCGATAGTACATAATACAGTAATAAGTTCGACCTGCCATTTTCATCAACTATTCTACCCTGCGAAAATAAACACTGATCGGTTGTATTATAGAAAGAAGAAAGAGGTCAATAGAAATGGACTATTTTATCATATGTCCGGAAAATGGAATTTCGGTACAACTCTACTGTTCTAGATGTGGACACCTTTGAGGAATGAGATAGAATGGAGTTCTTCACGAAGTTCGAGATAAAGGAATACTGTAATCTGATTTCATATTTTTCAGATAAAAATACTGAAAAGTTTGTCTGAACCATATAAAAATTTATATTTTACATGGGTTTCGTGATCTCGTTGTGATATTTATTGGCAACCCATGAACATTGGTCGAATCTGATTAGATTCATTCGTCCTGCAGTAACAACCGAACCAAAGAAAATATATAGAAAATACAGTTATTTTTCATTATATTAATATAATTCATATTAAATTACGTTTTGTTTGTTTTTCCATTTTCAACTCTTAATTACCACTTATGTCTGATGTGGTCAGATGTTTTGTAATTCAAACTGTTTGTTTTTTATTATTATTTTCAGAGCATTTTATCACTTAATAGGGTCTGAATAAATAAGAGATAAACTAATATTTTAATTCGTGTTATTTATCATTTTCTTTGATTCTCTTTGGCTATCGCTTCTTTATCCAAATGGGACGCCACCGTCCTTTCACCATCCATGTAAAATGCACGCCCCACCTTCTCTGTGTGTGTGTGTGTGTATATATATATATATATATACATATATAATATCTATACGTATAAGTTAGCTTAGAAGATTAATGTAAAACAAGAACTTTTATCAGCGATTTATCCTCTGTCAAAAGTATCGATCTTTCTGCAAACAAACTCACCGGCGGCATTTCCGATAGCATCGAAAGTCTGAAAGTTATCTAAAAGTTTCTACTATGTTCCATTTGCTAAGCAATTATTGAGATGAATTTTGACAATAGAAATTTTATGAAAAATCAAGAGAATTTTGCAAAATGTTTGCACCTGATTTTACAAAAACGAACCATTAATTAAAATTTCAAATTTCAGACGTTTGCCAATTTATAAAAAACAAACAGTCTTATTGATTCATATTTCAGACTTCAGCATCACTTCTTATTAATAGAAGTTAAATAAGACCTCGACACCTCTTAAAAAAAACAAACGCAATCTTAGGGGTCGTTTACCAAATACTTACCCGGTAAGTATGGATCGGGTAACTTTCCTCACTTGATGCACATAGCAAAGGCTGAAAATCTTACCCGGTAATAGATATGGCCAAATGGGCCCGGCCCGTAACCGTTGGAGGACCGGAACCGGGATCGGAGAGGGACCATAATCGGCCCGGGACCGGTATGGACCGGTTGTGGACCGCCGGTTATGAACCGGTTATGGATTTTAACGTTTTCTAGGACCGAGAGCGGTTAAGACCGGAACCGGTTATGTAACCGGTTATAGGACCGGCC